CTAATTTATAAAATGCTGAATAAATCATGCATTTAAATAGCTTCTCTAAAATCATTCGAGAAGTATTTTTCTTAAGGTATCATTTTGATTTGTTTTTTACGTGCAATTTACCATGTTTTTTTTTTTACTTTTAACATTTTTAGAATCTACACATTTTGAAAAAATATTAGTTTTTTTATCCATTTAAATCACGCTTTTAAATTGTATTATTTTTTATTTTTTATTTTTGGTAAAAAGTATGTATTCAATATGAATTCCTTACAACTTCGTATTCTTTAAAATGATTAGATTGCAAACAAGATTTCATATCTATAAAAATGATAGAAATAGGACACGTGTTGCCCCTCCGACTTTGGTTGGTGAGGTGTCTGTCTGTGATGGATTTTCTGCAGCATCTGACATATGGATTCACGGAATGTGACGGCTCTCTTGTTGCGATTTCGCAATTCTGATCTTTTTGTTTTTACAAAAATACTAAAAAAATGTGGGTAAAACCTTTAAAAAAATATCGACCTTACAAAAAAAATATACAAATAAACCTTTAACTTGCAAAACTGTCATTTAAACCTTAAACTTACAATATATTGACAGAAAAACTTAATAAGATTTCAACAAAGAAAAGGAAAATATTCGTGTGTGAATGAAATGGAAGAGAGAATTGGAGTCATTGATTAACCCGAAAGAAATCTTAACTTCTTGGTTTATTTTCTCAAGGCTTTGATAGCCTTTTATACAAAGAAACAAATCTAAACAACTAACATAAATCTTTCTCACGTACGCCCCACGTTCCTACCTTAAGAATAGGACAAATTGACCAAATCAAAAGATTAAAAACATTTAAAAATAAAACAATAACGGTCCATTATTTTTACTACTAGATTAAACCTAACAATTTCCCCCGTAATCTTGTCTTCACATCCTATCACAGCAACGTCGGTTCGTCCTCAATTTCTTCTCCGAAATGAACTTGTTTTTCTTTTTCCTCCTTGCAATCAGCCCTGAAATGACCGTACTCATGACAATTATAGCACTGTACCTTGTTTATGTCAAATTTCTGATATATCGTCCTTCACTTTGGCATGTGTCACAACGTGACCGACCACGACCTCTACCATTCCATTGTCTTCGACCGCGACCGTGACCTTTCCATTCACCACGTGCGAACAATACCTGTTCGTCATCGCTCGATTCGAATTCCTTTAAGCGTACTTCATGTGCCTTGAGCGATCCCTTCACTTCTTCGACGCTCATCTTCGATAAATCTCCGAACTGTTCTATCGCCGAAGCATATTGGAGGAACTTCTTCGACACCGATCTGAGCATCTTTTCAACCACTTGAACTTGCTCTATCTTTTCTCCCAAAGCCTTCAATTGGCTTACGACAGTAGATAAACGACCAGTGAATTCATCTACTGATTCGTTTTGCTTCATTCTAATCCCTTCGAGTTCTCTCCGTAGGGATTGTGCTCGCACCTTCTTAATCCGAGCATCTCCTAGGTGCATCGTTTTGATGGCCTCCCAAAGCTCTCTTGCCGAGTCTTTCTCTCCCATCTCGAACAAAGTCTCCTCGGGTATGCCTTGGCCTATCGCTGCCACGGCTAACATGTCGAGCCGCGACTCGATCGGTCCTTCCGACTCCACGGCTTCCCACACTCCTTGGGCTTTCATATTGATCTTCATCTTCATCGCCCACATGCCGTAATTTGTTTTTGACAACATCGGATACTGGAGGGTGACACTTCCCTCTTTTACCGACGGTTTCACTTCCGTCGTACTCTGACCACCATTACCGCCATTTCCTCCACTCCGAACAGCACTCGAATAAGACTGAGACATTCTTCCTACCAACCGGGCTCTGATACCACTTTGACAGAAAAACTTAATAAGATTTCAACAAAGAAAAGGAAAACATTCGCGTGTGAATGAAATGGAAGAGAGAATTGGAGTCATTGATTAACCCGAAAGAAATCTTAACTTCTTGGTTTATTTTCTCAAGGCTTTGATAGCCTTTTATACAAAGAAACAAATCTAAACAACTAACATAAATCTTTCTCACGTACGCCCCACGTTCCTACCTTAAGAATAGGACAAATTGACCAAATCAAAAGATTAAAAACATTTAAAAATAAAACAATAACGGTCCATTATTTTTACGACAAGATTAAACCTAACATATATAACTGAATAAAACCTCGAACTTGCAAATTGTTGTTCTAATAATCGATTGACTTGTTTAACCACAATTCTAGACAATCAGAAATCCACGTTAGTTCGGAAAGCTGATGTCATCATATCTACGTAACTAATTTTAAATGAATTTTTGCCATATCAACATTTTTTGGATCAAAATTTAATCCGATTTGAAAGTAAATAAAACCGGTTTTCGAGGTCAACGTAACAGAACATAATCAGATTGAAGGTTTATTCAGTTAAAATTGGTTACGTAAACACGTTGACATCAACTTTCCGACCCAACGTGGATTTCTGATCGCTTGAAATTATGGTCAAACAAGTCAATGGATTATTAGAATAATAATTTGTAAGTTCGAGGTTTTTTTAGGGTTTTATCCAAAAAAATGTTGGTTTAGGATGAAATTCCTCGGAAACCTAGTAGGAGAGAACATATGCAATTGGGGATAATAATTTTATTAAATGGGTCCGCCTCTGCGGATAGTGCACTTTTAACCGGTTCCCGGTTAGATTCAGCTGGAATCACACTACAAAACCGGTTTTCGAAGATATTCCATTTGGAAACTCTCGGAGAACCGGTTTAAAATCGGTTTTCAGACGACGTAGAAAGTTAATTTGAAGCGTTGGATTATTTCGTTAATTATTCAGATAATGTATAATCGATTTATATTAGTTTTTTTTTTGACAAATCGACTTATATTAGTTGAATTTTCGTAACCTTTTATTAAGCTGTAATCTTAGCAGCCACAGAACAAATAACAAGGGATAAATATATTTACATATATAGAGTTGTATCGAATGCATGCCATGAGGAACTAAACATATACAAATTTGGAAGTAATTGATTGGCATTGGAATTGGTACGTAGGGATGGGCGTTTCAACCCGTAACCCGGGAGTTTGGGGGTACCCGGCTTAACAAGTATCCGGAGAAAGGGTATCCGGATATTAGCGATGATGAGATCGGGTTGAACGAGGCCGAGTTTTTGACCCCCCGGTCTGGGTTCGGGTTTCGATTAACTCATAACGGGTACCCTGGGTACCCGGTATATTAATTAAAAATTAAAAATATCTTTATATTTATAACATTTATCTAAGGTATTTTATTATGTATTAAAATATTTTTATTTTATTTAATTATTTTCTATATTCTCAATCTTTATAATTTATGAAATCGAATTTATAATTTATAAAATCGAGTTTTGAATGTTGTTTAAGTTATTTTTATTGAATTTTATAAATTATACAATATTTGAATTATTTATTTATCAGATCCGGGTACCCGTGAGTACGAGACTGAGAATCTCATTGAACCCGG